GTCAACTCAGTTCTGTATAGGTAGCCTTATTCCGTTATATTGTAAAACTTTCCAGAATATGTATTATTCTGTCCCTAAGAAAACAAATGCCATGGTCATGTTTTAGGTAAGTGATAATGTGGTAAGGAAAACATTTGGTAGTACAGAGATAAACCGTTTCATCATGAGTTACTATTGTCCCTGCCCCTTCTTTTTGCTTCTAATTAAGATTCGTAACATGTAATGCTTTGGGGTTGAGAGGGAGATACTAGAATGAAATGGTTTGATGTAAATCATCTTGGTTTGAATGAACAGGTTGAACTGTTAGGATTTTTGTTTGCTTTTGTGCTAGAGGATATATGTGCTCTAGAGAGAGACAGAGAGAAGGGGAGAAAGAATGAAAAGAATGCACTTCACATGGGGAATGGTCATGCCACAATCCCGTCTCCTCCATTTCCTTGGGATGGACATTTCTGCACATGTACCTGGCAGTTTTCTCAAGCTCCTGGGTCTGGAACTGGAACCATTGTCAGCCATACAGGTTCTGGCTGCCTTAACCACCAGGGCACAAAGCTGGCCCTGTTGCTTATTGTTTGGTTTTGCTTTTGTGTTGCCATAGGGCACATGAGTTCACTAGAAAGACACAGAGAGAGGAACAGTGAGAAATCATCCCCCTGGAGGATAGCCATGTGACATTCCCTTATCTTCCATTCTCCTGTCAGGATTTGGGGCATTCATGCTTACCTGGAGTGATTGTTAAACTACCTGGTCTGGGACTCGAACCACACTCAGCCATTGGGAGTCTAGTGCCCTTAACCACCACTCTACCTGCTGGCCCCGTTTGTTTTTAATGATGAATTCTGGTTTACCAATAATCATTGTGATATTAATATTTGTTGGGTGCAGTATTGTTTTTGAGAGCAGGTATACAATGTTTAGTAATCAAGGATATAGATATATTTATCTTTGACAAGGACATTATGTCATGTTGTATAATTCAATATTCTACAAATTTTTGTTCTTTAAAGTTTATATTGAATTGTCAACATGTTTTTACTTTGCTGTAGTATGTCGTTCTATAATCTATTGCACTTGTTTGCATGCACCCTTGCAGCTGTTCATCTTTCTCTCCCAACACCCCGGCCTACTTCCTAACTGTTAAGTTTTACACTTAAAAAAAAAATTATTCTTAAAAGTGATTTTTTTTTTCCGTAGAGGGACATACTTATGTATCTTGAAGGTATTTTACATATCACTACTGTGATACTAACAATAGAATATCAAATAATGTTTCTTTTATTTGTTAATGGTGGGTTTCACAAATTAATTTTCAAGACTATCATTAATTATTTTCCCTTTTGTACTCATTAAACTATATTGTGTTTTTTTTTCTTTTTAATTTTTTAGAGATTTTTGCTATGGGACATGTGTGCATTGCCAGAGAGAGAGAGACAGAAAGTGAGAAATCACCACTGCAGTGAGGAAGGCCACACCACAGTCCCTTCTCCTTTGTTCTCCTCTCAGGAGTCTTAGGCATGCATGCTTACGTGCCCAGCATCAGCTTTAAGCCACTGGATCCAGGACCTGAACCGCAGTTGACTATGTGGGAGTCCAGCAACGTAACCATTATACTATCTGCTGGTCCCAAACGATAATGTGTTTTTAAACATTATGTTTTCCATACTACACAGAAGCTTTGGGAATTTTTTTTTTTAGAATTATTTATTAAATTTTATTTATTATAATTTTTTAGTTTACTGAGAAATGACTTTCTTTTCCACATTCTTAACTGTCATTCCTCTAAAACAATAATAGTAGAAATAGTCAGTCCAGTGATGGTGGGATATACTGTTAGAACCCTTTTTAGAACCCAGTAATGTTTATGCCTAGTTGGCTTATACTTTTGATTGACTCTTGATTTTATATTCCCTGTGAGGATTATTTATTATTCCTTATTATTTTATGCTTAACTAGATAAATAGTGTTCAAAGCAGAAAAAATGGCCCAGTTTTTTTCCCCCACAAAAGAATGTTCAGATTTTCCCTGTGTTCATTGGGCATTTGGGGGATTGAGACTTCTTGCCTGTAATAAAGTTGTCTACTGAGAAACCAGAGACTACTGTCCTTGGAGTTCTGCTTCTTTTTTTCTTTTTTTTTTTTTGTTTTTTTTTTTTTTTTTTTTTGGAGAGGTTTTTGCTATAGGGTGTGTGCACTTGCCAGAAAGACAGAGAGAGACAGAGAGACAGAAAGAGAGAAATCACCTCCCACCCAGAGGGGATGACCAGACCACAATCTCTTCTCCATTCTCCTTTTAGGATCTTTGGCACTCACGCACATGCACCCAGCATGAGTTTAAGCCCTGGGTCCTGGACTTGTACTGTGGTTGACTACATGGGAGTCTGGTGACATAGCCATGACACCAACTGCTGGTCCCCGCTTCTTGTTTTGAAAGCTACATGGTGTTGGAAGCAGCAGGTGTCTAGTGGTTAATGTGCTGGACTCCCACATTGGCATTGGCTGTTCAAGTCGTGGACCCAGTGGCTTGAAAGTTATGCCAGACACATACGCATGCATGCCAAATGTATGTGCATGCATGCCAAATATCCCAGGAGGAGACTGAAGGAGAAGGAATTGCAGCCTGGCCATCCCCCCATGGGTAATTGCTCACTTTCTCTCTCTCTGTATCTCTCCGATGACCACATGCACCCTATGCAAAACCTTTAAAAATGATTTTTTAAAAAAGGTGCATAATGCTGTTTTGCCAACAGACTATACACAAGAATCTTACTACTCATTTACTATGGCATTGATAAATGAGCCAGTTTTCCCCCCGACCTTAAAAACTCAAGTGGAAGAAAGTTCATAGAATTTTTATCTTTCTATGTAATATTTGTATAGACTTTTTACCAAGGGCAGCTTTCATTTTGCATTTTTTTTTCATCTGCAAATTCTTTGTGTGTAATTTCCCAGTGATGATTTAAGACATGACTGTGCTTCTGAAGTTGTATATCTAACAAAATATATTCTTTGTCAGTCAGGAGAGTATAGATTTATATGTGTGTGTAAAAAGTAATAGTTACTATTGTTACAAACTTAAAATACAACTAGGTACTACCATAAGCACTTTATATGTAAAATAGCCTTATTCTCTTGAAAACATATTAACAGACTTTATTTTTGGAGCAATTTTAAACTTATAAAAAATCGAACAGACAATGCAGAGAATTTCTATGTACTGCTTCACCCTCCCACCACTAGACACAGTTCCCGCTGTTCTGATCAGCGTGCACTAGTGCTGTACGTTACTGCAGTTGATGAACTAATTAAAGCTGTCATTTATATTGTAGTTTACTCTTTATATTGTAAATGCTGTGGGTCTAGACAAGTATGTAATGACACGTGTACTCTTTTACAGTATTATACAGAATGCTTTCACTGTCCTCAACATCTCCTCTATGCAGCCTGCCCTCTTTTCCTACTATAGAAAATTACAGCTAAAAGATGAAATAATTTTCTCAGGGTCACAAATGTGAGAACCATCCCACCTGCCTAGAATCTATATTCTTCACTCACAAATTAGGCTTACTTGAGTCATCACAATTATTGATTAAATTATCTAGAAACTCTGAGCTTGTTAATTTTTTCTAACTTTATGAAGGGATATGTATAGGAGGTGATCTGTCTCTGCCTTTCTTTGAAATTAAAATGTTGTGGGATATATTGCAGGAGATTTAAACTGTTTAATGATGGTATATTTGAGGAGAGGTGTGATTTAAAGAGGAGTTACTGAGCGAAGTAATGTTACTAAAATGAGAGAAGACATGAGGAGGTCAGTTGTCTTATAAGCTGGGTATTTCTAGCCTTAAGTAATTCCACCTTCTCGTAGAAGCTGTAGGCTAGGTCCTTGCATCTATGATAAAAGGTTAATTACAGAGGTACCAACAGAGCACATTTTTTAAAATAATTTTTATTTAAGTTTATTTCTTTAGTTAGTTTAATTTGACCAGAGGTGGTGGGGGGGAGCTGCCAGGTCTGGGACTTGAACTGCAATCAGCTATATATATATGCATACATACATCCACACACAAAGTAAGAAAAAAAGCATTGCCTGAAGTTTATGTGGAAGATATTCTGTGAATTAAAAGGAATAGGCAGATAAGGTCACTTCCCTTTGCCATGATCTTAGCTTTGGACACTGTCCAGTGCCCTACTGCTGCTTGCAGTCAGTATAGATCTTCATTCCATCCATGCCTGACAAGAGAGGTCTCCTGGAAAGTTTGTCTTGTTTTGTCTTACTCTGGAGGCAACTGTGGTTTGGAAGGAATAGCTCAATGAAAAATGCATGGTTTTAGATTCTACCTGGATTATGATACTGTTTCCTAAAAAGTCAACTTACTGGATGTAGACCTTTCCCCCTATTTTCAGCTTACTTTTTGTATCATGTGTAATACCTCCTTCAAACTACTGATAGGAAGGGATCTTAGCTTTTCATTTAACCTTGAATTAACAGATTTTAGTTCTGAATGATAGCAGCAAGGATAAGTAGGAGCTATTAAGATTCACCAAGGTGTGACTTCTTTTCTTTATATATAAGGGAAACGATCAGGAAAAAATCATCTCCCAAGTTAAAATGGCAATAATTCTTTGTGAGGATAAAAAAGGAATGAAGAGGAAATAAACTGAATAGAGAAAATAAAATAGAACCTGACAGCACTACTTCCTGAAAACTGTCTTAGCCTTTGGTTTCTAGGAAATCATTTCTCCACTTTTTCTCATTTCCTTGTCTGCTGCTTTTTGATCTCTGTGAGGAGCTCACATTCTTCTATTCTGTTCTTGGTGTTTCCTAGGATTCTGACTCAGTCTTCTTTCAACATATTCCTTGATCATTACTTAGCTAAATCATATTACTTTTTTCCTAATTATGACTACCCAATAGACATTAGTCTTCTACATATGGACCCAGGAGGTGAAGAATCCCCTCATGATCTGTTGCTGAATCATTCGTTTTCTCTGTTTTTCAAGGGTCGTAAGATTGAGGCTGAAAAGTTCTTCTTGAAGGCTATTGAGCTGGACCCCACCAAAGGAAACTGTTACATGCATTATGGTGAGTGGTTGATAGTTTTTCCATCCCCTTTACTACTGATGTCAATGTGAGATGAGATCTAGATTTTGCTGGTAAAGAACATTTCTTGAGAGGAGACAGACTATTACATCTGGAGCCTCATGCTGTATTCTTACCTTCTCATTTAGGACAGTCATGTTAAAGACTACGACCTTTGCATTTCTCTTTCATGATTTTCATAGACCTTCAGTGGGGAAGGGAAGGCAGTTTCACAGTTGTTTCTTTCAATCTCAGTGGGGAGCTTAAGTGGGTTCCTATCGGAAAAGCATCTAGCTCCTTACCGGATGCATAGTTTATAATAAAAATAATAGCTTCCTTTCCATTTTCAGTGGTAACGTATTGCTTACCGAGTGTGTCATTTAGGAATTTTAGAAGTTTACATTTTGGCCTCAAAATCATGCTTTCTGGAAGATATGGATGTACACGAGCCTATAAATACCTGAGATTGAGGCCAAAGAAAAGCTGGAGCGGGCGTGAAGGATGACTGTCTCATTCTGTTTAGTTGTGGCCTTAATCAGTCCAGCATGAGCTTACATAACAGCTCGGTCACACTCCACTCTATCATTAGTAGTGACTCATGCGTTTAGTGAGGTGAAGTATATAGCTGGCTTGGTGTTGGGTAAGATTTCCTTATTTCTACCAGATTTGCAGTTGGGATGATTTTCAAAGAGGAAAATAAAAAATTACTTTGCCGATCCCTTGTGGAGGTAAAATGGGTTTTTGATCACTTTGGGACTTTGATGTATTAGTTCTTATCAAAGAGTAAACTTAAATGTGTATGGATTGAAATTAAATCTCCAGGAAATAAAGATAATATGCTTGATTAATATTTAATTCTATTTCCCAGTTTCTAGCTAGTAAAAATAAGTCAGTGACAGATTGCCAGTGTAAAAAAAATATATATATATAAATAACTGGAGGATACACTTAAGCAACCGCAAGTCCATTCTAAAATTTATATTATTTTGTGTATCTATTTATAACGCTAGGCTTGTGACACTTCATCTTTTCAGCATAATGCAATAGGTAATTTTGCATGAGGTATTATACAACCACTCCTGATTTTATTTCACACTGATGTTTTAATTGCTTTGTTAAGATAGCAGTAAACTAATTTAAGTTTGCTGTAGAATTTCTTTTTATTTATATAGGTTTTTTTTATATGAAGGGTTTCAAATTAGGATTTTTCATGCTTACTATTTTGGGTACCCCAACTGTGCATTAGAATAGCTCCATGATTATTTTCCCTGAGCTCTAAAGGACCTCCTGTCACTGAATTTTTTGGAATAGGATTTTTTTTCCCCTATCTTACTGCTTACATTTCCTTTGCCTCAAACTAATTCTTCTTACTATATCATCTAAGCTTGTTTCCATAATGTTATTATATACTTTCTAGGTTTTTTCATGATCAATTTTTTTATCATTGCTAAATTTGAATTGCAATTATATTAGTTTTAAGGGTTGTCTCTCTTATTTCTTATTCATCTTTACCTACTTCTATCTTATTTTAAAGTTATTATTATTATATTTTATCATGCTCCAGAAATTTTTTTTCCAGTGGTGGTGGTTGGAGGTATTTCTCCAATGAGAAATTTTTGGATTTAACTAAACAAAAAGTACAAAAGCATTCTTTATTTTACATAGTTGGCAACAGTGGTAACAAACACCTTTAAATACATGTCTAAAAATTGGCTCTTATTTTCCTTTGATTGTTTTAATATTGTTGGCATGTGTAGATTACTATATTTGTTTTCTTTTTTTTCTTTCTTTCTTTCTTTCTTTCTTTTTTTTTAGAGAGATATTTTTGCTATAGGGCACTTATGTTCATCAGAGACAGAATGTGAGAAATCACCCTCCACCCGCCCCGGGGAGATGGCCCCTTGCAATCCCTTCTCCTCATTCTCCTCTCAGGATTTTGGAAATGCACACACATGCACTGACATGAGTTTTTCTTTAATTTTAAAATTTTTAATTAATTAATTTACATTTATTCCCTGAGCATCATCACAGCATAAAAATCACAAAATGTGATTTCCCATACAGAATATACTCATGGGGGCTTATTAATACATATTATTGTCAGTCATTTTCCATTTCTAGTTTTAAGTTGCTGGGTCGAGGAATCAAACTGTGGGCAACTAGGTGGGAGTCCAGAGATGTAACCATTATGCCATCTGCTGTCCCAGAGGTATATTTATTTTCTAGGGAAGAATGACTGCATTTCAATAGAATTTTAGATAGATGTATTTCAGTATTATTTTCCTACTTTGGAATCAGAAATAAAAGAATTCAAAATCAATTTTTAAAAATGTGGAATAATTAAGACAAAATAATGAAAAAAAATGGAAACCTATAATTAAGTGCATGGTGTTTCTTGCTTACTGAATTCTGGTTCTTTAAAATATATATATATATATTTATACATATATATATTTAATCATAATGATTTATATTTTAATTTTCAATGTCTGAATTTTGGAAAAACTCTTTTAAAATTATCTAAGGTATCTATCTACTCTGTTGTACAAATAAGTAGACTGAGAAATTGAGTTGACTTGCTCGGGTTAATTATAAGTGAGTAAATACTGAATTCCTTCATTACTGCCATTGCTTTTTCTTCTAATTTATTTCTTATAATATATTGTAACATATATTCTATTTATTTTTTCAACATTGGTAAACAGACATTTTTGATCAGTAAGTCTTTCTGTGAACAGTTTTAGAATGTCAAATTCATGTAAGTCACAACTTAAATTTAGGAAAGTTTTTTTAATTAGTGTTAATATTTACAAGGTGTGTCTACAAGGTATAAGACTCTGTTTTGTTTATAGAAAGCAAGTAGTGCTAGATAGGAAATAAACAGAATGATTTCATCTTTAGAAGGTGACAAGGAGGGCCAACAGGTGGCATGCTCATTAAGGTGAAGTGCTCATTAAGGCACTGGACTCCTACATGGCCAACTGTGATTCAGGTCCCAAATTGGTGGCTTGAATATCACATTGGATGTGTGTTTGTGCATGCCCAAAATCTTTTTCTTTTTCTTTTTTCTTTTTTGGAGAGCTTTTTGCTATAGGGCGCGTGCGCTCACCAGACAAACAGAGAGAGAGAGACAGAAAGCGAGAAATCACCCCCCTCCCCCTGGGGGATGGCCACACCACAATCCCTTCTCCTCCATTCTCCTCTCGGGATCTTGGCCACGCACACACCCACATGCCCAGCGTGAGTTTTAAGCCCCCGGGTCCAGGACGCAAACCGTGGTCGACTACATGGGAGTTCAGCAACATAGCCATTATGCTAACTGCTGGTCCTATGCCCAAAATCTTGAGAGGAGAATGAAGGAGGGGGGGATTGAGGTGTGGCCATCACCCATGGTGGGGGGCGGTGATTTCTCACTTTTCCTCTCACTTTCTCTCTCCAGTGAAGGCACAAGCCCTATGGGGCAATAAAACAAAGAGATGAGGTAAGAAGTAGAGTACTTCTTCAAACAGGGTAGTTAGATCAAGCATCTTTAAAGATAGGGTGGTTGATATCTCTAAGCCTAAGTCAGCTTTTTGAAGAATGAGATTCAGAGAGAAGAAACAGAATGTTCAAAAGTCCAAGGCAAGATCAAGCTTATATTTAAAGCAGAGAGAGAAGGCTAATGTGCTGGAATGTATTGGCCCAGATGGGAAACTGAGAGGAGATGAGGCAGCCCAGAAAGCAAAGGCAGAGAGTCCATGAGGTATTGTAGAGTGAGCTAAGGAGTAAACATTTTATTCCAAGAGGAATGGAAGAGACCAGGTGGGGAGATAGATTAGAGAAAGATCAGAGAAGAGCAAGAGAGACGTAGGGAGGAAACTATTACTAGGTTTTAGGGGGGATGATAGTGGTTTGGACTTGGGAATAGTTGTAGGAATGTAAATATTTATATTGAAATTGTACATTACCTACTATAAAAGATTCAAAGATAATTAAGAGTAGGGATGGTCTGTTTTCCATTTTTGTACCATCAATATCTAGCATGTTGCCAAATTCTCAGTAATATGCAGTAAGCATTGAGCTCAGATTGGAATATATTTCAGTCTAGATTTGGATTATGGAATTGACTGAAAGGAAGTTTCATTTGAATTTTGATTATTTCTTATACAAGAAAGTACATATTATGATTCTTAGATCAGTTTCTTGCCAACTTACTGGTTATATATTCATATTCCTATTCTTAGGGTGTTTATACTCACAGATCAAGTGAATAATAACACTTTCTCAGCCTAAAAATAAATGTTTAAATGAAATATATGTGTTGAGTCTTTTTAAAATGCATTTGCAAATGCCAATGAAAATGCCAGAGTAAGTGAATTTTATTCTGTGGGAAATCCACTCTGGGGTGATTATGTGCTTTTGGTTTGCTTGTTAGTGATACAACTGACTTGTAAAATATCATCCAGTGGAGACTCAATAGAGGCAATTATAGGAATTTACATTGGCTGAAATGGTGATCAGAAGGCAATATTTTAAAATGCTTTCAGATACTTGTATTTTGAACTCACTGTTTTTGTTTTTTCCTTTTTTTTGGTCTGAAAGGACATTGCATTGCAAGTTTCTTTTATTTTTTTCTTTCATATTTGCTTTAAAAAATATAGCTCTGCAGGTTCATAAAATTGATTGAATAAGTAAGTATTGGTAGACTTGGTGGTACGTATAAATTCTGGGATTCAGATGCCTCATCTCTAAAGCAGAAAGGTTGATGTAGACTTCCAAGTTGTTTTCCAAAACTCAAATTTCAGGTTGTCTTTTATATATATTCAAATTTTCACTGTTTTTTTAGAGAGGTTTTCGCTATAGGGCGCGTGCGCTCACCAGACAGACAGAGAGAGACATAGAGACAGAAAGCGAGAAATCACCCCCCAGGGGGGATGGTCACGCCACAATCCCTTCTCCTCCATTCTCCTCTCGGGATCTTGGGCACACACGCACACGCGCCCGGTGTGAGTTTTAAGCCACCG